AAACCTTGTCTCGAAAAACAAAAAAAAAAAAAAAAAAAAAAAAAATCATCATCAAGAAGATTAAGAGAAAATCAAGACTTCCTTTTGGAAAGAGATTCTGGGTAAAGACAGATCAGTATCAAAAACCCTCACCAAGAACACATGACTAAAAGCCCAGCATGGTGTCATACTCCTGAAGTCCCTGTCCCCAGGAGGTGAAGGCTGGAGAAGCATGCTTGGGGCAGCTTGAGCAGCTACGAAAAGGCCCTCTCAAGACACAACTGAACGGTGACCACGTCTACATCCTACAGGAAGTGAACACAAACTCCAGTAGTAAGATCTCAAGCATTACAAAAGTGCATTATAATCAAGTTAAATAATGACACAGGAGTACAAAAAGGGACTCCACTAATAAGAGAAAACATATTTAATAAAATACCATTCTCAATCATCCAGGAAGGAAACCCCATAGATTTTAATGGTTTATAAAAACTTGTTAATTATGAAGAAAAAAAAAGATTTGCATTCAATACAGTAATCAACATTCACTTACTGATAACTTCCTCCTTTAAATTTTAAGTGAAAAGAACTGACTAGTTGTATGTGCACTAAAAACCATACAGAATGAATCTGACCAACCAAATGACATGCATAAGATATATCCACAGTAACAATCAGTTATTGGTCTAGCCACCAACATTAAGTACATCAGGGTAAATTTCAAAAACAGGGGAACTAGACAGTGCAAAACTGGGGCAAAATATGCCTCACATTGAAGAAAGAAAAGTTATCTGTTATTGCAATCTTCTACTTCTAAAAAGATCTAACCCATAATATTTCAAGCCTTCAGCAGAATCCCAGTTAACTATACCTTCAAAAATGATGAATGTGTTGCTAACCTTTATGTTCACCGTTATCAGTATCCGAATTGTGAGCGGGAATTCTGGACATTGTCTTTTCAACCTCCTTGCTTAAAATACCTGAGAGGTATATATCCTGGATGTATATATCAGGCCCTTAAGGACATTATCAATCAGGTCACTTAGGTATAATGCAGTAAAGTAGCCTGAAAGAATATATACTGCCCTCAAAATGGCATTTTGAAGGCTAAGTAAATAAATGCAATTATACTGAGAAAGAAGCTGCCAGTTTAAAAAGGGAAACAAACAAAACCAATTATACTGACAAGGAAGCTGCCACAGACTACTATATATGAGTACACAGTGCCATCAACTTTACTGTTTAAAATGTCCTTGCTTCTTCTATCCCAGTACACACAGCCATTACGCACATATAAGTTGTTTTACTATGGCTATGAACAAGGTTAGATGTGAGACAAATGGCTCAATCAGAAAATCTAGAACATGCAAAGAAAAAAGAGTTACGTTTATGTCTAGAAACAGAGCCAATCACTAAAACCTAAAAAGAACTGTGACATTAATTAAATAGAGGGAGATTTATTCTATAACCTTCTGAAATTAGTAACAGTGCTATAAAGAAAACAAATAAGCATTCAGAAGTACATTTAAATAGTGCAATTGTACAGATAATAAAGATAATAAACTAAGTAAATCACTGTACAGAAGTCACATAAATACCACATCAAAGGTTAGGTCTTAAACAGAAGAGTGAAATTTAAAAAGGCACTTTATATAACAATAAATGGAAATAGTATTTCTCTATACATAGTAACTACAAAAAACATATTGTCTTCAAATACATCTTATGTCTAGTCAAGAAATGACATTTTGAAGGAAAAGATCACTAAACACAGCTCTTTTGAAAAAACCAAATCATTAAACTTTTGAGTATTCCAAGGTGTCAAAAAAAAGCTAGTGATATTCTCACTCAGAAGTCGACCTAACAGGAAATTCTGTTGCAGGTTCTGCACATGGCAGACACAATCTAAATGTTTATCTGGTTAAACCTAAATGCTATATTCTACTGGACTGTCTACTGGGGTTGTCAAGACCAAGTACCAACTTTTACTTTTATAACACCATCATCATCATTCAAGTATGCCAGAGGTTTAAAATTAAAAAAAAGTAAAATTAAAAAAAAGATAAGCAGGTGAAGGATGCTGGAATAGTTCTGAGTGGAGTAGCTATAGCTCCGAGTGCTCCCACCCTACCATACTCTGTCCACAAATGACTCCACTGCCAAATACTTCCCTTAGCTTGTCTGTCTGATCACCAATCTGGTGATTTCCTGACATTTTCACTTCCGGGAAAACTGAATTCTCTGGAGTTGCTTGGGCTTACCAATAAGTGGTTCAAGCAACGTTACGTTTACCTCATTAATAAATAATATCAACATCTCAGATGAGGGTAGGGCTGTCCTGAAATTTAAGAGTGTATAATAATGTGAAAATTATTAAAGTGCTAAATTTTATGTGCTTTTTTTGCTTGCTGTCTACTAAAATTTAAAGCAGGGACGGGCACAAATAAATTAGGTGAAAATGCCAAAACAGTTTCAAAGAATTCATCTTCAAGCATTATTAATTTTTGTTTCGTTTTGAACATCAGGAGTATCTCATAAATCGTATGTGATATATAGCATCTAATTCAGGGCAAGATGGAAAAGAAGGAACAATCTGAAGCAGCCTCAACTAGTCAGAAACATGTGCACCTTTCCCCAGTGAAGTCTGAGTGGCTACTCCTTTCTCAGAAGACACTGCACTGCTACCGGTCCAAGCTTAAGCCTACTACCCCTTCGAAGAGCATTCATTATAAGCTACAAAAGTTTTTCTGGAGTTCATCCGAGAGACATCTTAGAGAGCCCCGGTACGAACCTAAGGAAGTCAAAGCAAAGTTTTGTTGATCACACAGAAAAATAAGGTAAATATTAACCCTAGATACAATCTGGTTAAATTTGCTAAATGATCATGGTAACTAGTTCAGGTTTAGTCTACAAAGAAAACAAATAGGACCAACACAGTACCCTAAAATTATCTGACAAAGTAACTTCTTCCAAGTTGGGAAATCCGTGCCTTCAATCTATACGGCACAAATGAAAAGCAGCAGCTGGGCCTGGTGGCACATGCCTTTATTTCCAGTACTCTGGAGGCGGTGGCACATGCCTTTATTTCCCAGTACTCTGGAGGCAGAGCCAAGCAGATCTATGGGTCCAAGGCCAGCCTGGTCTACATATCAAGTTCCAGGTCAGCTAGGTCTATGTAGTGAGACCTTGTCTCAAAAACAAGAGGAAGAAATGTAGATTAAGCAGAGTGCTGAATATGGGTATGAATGAAGGAATGAGTTGTCTAATGAATTACAAAAAGGTGAGCATCACAGAAAATGTCAACCATTATGATGCAAGAATCATGGTAAGAAACAGAAACCACATAAATTCTTAAGACAGTGCTATATTCCACTAATAGTATACCTAAAACATTTTGATCAAGCAGATTAAAAATTAAGAAAAAAGCAGATGTTTGAATAACCAAGAAGTTACATAATTACATTTTGAGAAAAAATTATTTTTTGGCTGCCAAGTCACATCAGGTGAAGTGTTCAGACCTCCTCAAACTTGACACTTTTTCTACTTTAAAAGTCATGCTGTGAAGAGAAGAACACAGGGGCTGCTATATTATACAGCCATTGCCTTGAGATTAAAGATGACACTGTGGGACACTAACATAACTGAGGTATTTGCTGCCAGCTCCAGAAAGATGGAGATTCATTATTGGGAGCAAAATATAAATCATCTCTTAGTAACAGTTAGTCCAGTTGGATTACATGACAAATTAACCAAGTTAATCAAGAATATGTCACTGAAGTCTTGATTCCAACCTTTCAAGAATTCAATAAGAAGTTATTATCATCTAGATATCCAGAAACAGCTGTGTATCTTGAAAACACCCAGTCACACTTTACATCTCAAGGATTTCTCAACGAAGTCTACACTAATGACATCCCTCTTTATTTCAAGAGAGAACAGATTGTCAGGCATGTTTGGAATTCTTGCTCTTAAAAGAGTTCAGATTTGCATGCCTGGATGATGGGAATAATATTTTGTATTTCCAGGGCCATGATGATGCATTTGTCTATTGTACTGAGAATGTAACGTACTACCAAGCTCAAAAGAATCAACGGCTTTGAAGACAAGTTTAAGAAGGCCATCTCATTGAAAGGCCCACCTTAGAGAGACTGTGATGCCCAAGTCTCACGGGTGGTTGATATAAGAGCTTGGTAAGTCATGGACTACTAGGATTGAGGGCTAAGGAAGCTATCTCACATGCAGCGTAATGAGTAGTGATGGTGTGGTAGCCATCATAGTCAGGATGAAGATAGTTTAACTTTTCTACAATGATGTTACAGGTAGGAAAATATTTTTTCCATTTTGAGTCCAAAAGTAGACCTGTGACATTTAATCATCCCAGTTAGAAGTAAACTGGATTTGGCAAAATTTTTAATGAATTCCAGCAGACATAGCTTCATGGCTAGTTCTGAAGTCTCACAGAGCTTGATAATAGTATGAACTATGGTGAGCTGATCATCTTAACATAGGGATTGTAACAAATCTACCACTTTTTGATGACTCATCAAGCTGAAGCCCAAAGTTCCAGAAGCATTGATGATCTAAAAATGAAGGTTTTTACACTTTAGTCTTAGTAAACACTGATCTAGTAGCAAATTGTTTCCAGATCCAAAATCTGCCAGTCCTCAGTTTACCAACAAGATTTTCCTGAGGCATGAATCTACATATTTTCCTTTAATTCCAGAAGATTCAGATTCCTGAGTACCCTTCTCTGGACTTATTTTGGAACAAAAATAATGGGCAAACCTCTGTCCAATACTCCTTAGAGCAAAGTCTCCATTTGGCCAATAAAGCTTAAGTCTTTTTAGTATATACTTCATTCCAAAAGTCTAGAACTCAAACATCAGCTGTGATTATTCCAGACATGCACTCATTTTCTGAAATGACCCCCAACCTGGGGAAGAACAGGTAAAATAGGACCTTGGAAGGCTAATCTGCTAAACATCCAGAGTATTAATTTTTATACCCATGTCGCTCTGGAGAGTCTCCCTTTTTTCTGTATCTATAAGGGTGATTCCGGGGTTTGTACCAATCCCCTTTGGAGTACCCTCTGTTGTGATAATGTGCTTTCTGATCATGACTATAAAAGTATCGATGCTGAGTATAGTATTTATTGTGATCTTTATAATCATTTTCTTTAATACTATTGTCTTCTGCAACAATAGCATTCACATCTTGTCCAAAAAGAGATGTACCATCAAAGGGCAAGTGTAAGATCTTCTCCTGGGTTTTCTTAGTGAGAGATGTGAGTCGAAGCCAGGCTTGTCTTCTATAGTCTACTGCCATGGCCATAACTCTGACTACAGAGTCCATTATGTCCCTGGTGGTACAAAGCTGCCAAAGTCCTGCATCCATGCCATCAGATATTATACACCTTGCTTTTCCACGGTCAAACTCTGGATCATGGACCAGATCTTCCATGTCTTCCCAGAGTTTACGCTGATACTGAGTCATATAGGCCATATAGCTGGCAGCTCGGGCTGCAATGGAAGCAGCGTGATAGAACCTACAGCCCATGACTTCCATTTCCTTTGAGGTAGAGTCTAAAGGAGATGTCGTGTTTCCTCTTTTGCTATGTTCTAGTACATCTATAATGGGTCCCTCAGCTGGTGGATTTGGCTGGAAAGGAGATGTGTCCTTGGCCACAGGATATACCCTGTGTCCCATGAAGGAAGAAGGATGGCAATCAGCAGGGTCTTTAAAAACTTCAGTGGTGGCAATTCTCAAAAGTGGATGCAAGGGAGGAACCAAACGTTTTTTAGAGGTCATCCAATCAGGCTTCCCCTCACATGTGTCGGCTTCAGACTGTAATGTCACCCTCTTTATAACACCTCTTTGTTCCATTCTCTTCAAGAGACCCGTGAAACTTGACTGCATGGGGTCAGCTGGCTGCCCTTTGTCATCAGCTGATGGAGACTTGCAGTCAACCTCTTCTTCAACTGTGGATAAACTGTCCTCCTTAGAGGTGGAGATATCCCAAGGAACAGACGAGTTCTCACTTGGCCTAGAATGATGAAATCTAAAACAACTCCTGGACTGCAGATCACGTATGACTCGGGACATCTCAGCCACTTGTGTCTGAAGATACAGGATGGCATCCTGTCCATTCTGTGAAGCTGAAGACATCGTGATAGGTAAATCTTCTTTGACCTCAGAAAAAGCCAAAGACTCTTGGGGGACCAGAAGTGATGATGAAGGCAGAGTCTGATAATTTTGTGATTTAAGTGTCTCTGTTTCAGAGATATTAGTATCTGAATTATTTTGATCATTTTTCTGGTTCTCCAATTGGTTCTCAACAGAAGAGGGTTGAGAAACTATTCTTTGCGGACTGTTGGCACAACTCCCAGAGGAGGAGCTGCTGTCTCCAATGGGAAGAGGAACACTGCAGCTAGAGCACATTTCTGGGCGATGATTCTCAGAGGGTGGCACCTTAGATTCAGGCATTCTCTGGGTTATCCACATGAACAAGAAAACCAAGGAAGAAAAAAAATATGCTTTTAATATGTTAACTTTCAAGTGCAGAGATGCATGTCCAGTAAGTAGAATTCAAATTTTATATTATTATAAATAAGAATGACAGAAACAATCCACTTTAGGTCGGCAAAGGATAACAGAAGCCAAATGCACAGATTCATTACCCTCAACCCCATAAAAATTATAAACAATGTTGAACATAAAGAAAAAAATCATTATTAAAAATAAAATCATTTTGGAACTGGGAGATGGTTCAGTGTGTAAAGTGCTTGTCACAAATATGAGGGCCTGAGTTTAGATGCCAGGTACCCACATAAAAGCAAGGCACACAACTGGACATCTGTAATTCTAGCATTGGGGAGATGGACACAGGCAAATCCCAATTTCATTAGCCAGACAGCTTAGGCAATCAGTGACCTCCAGGTTCAATGAGAGCTCCTCAAAAATAAAGTAAAAATAAGTAAGGTAGAAAGCAACTGAAGAAGACCCCTGATGTTAGCCTCTGGCCTTCATATGCACACATGTGCACCTGCACATACATTTGCACACATCCATACAAACATGCACACAAACCAAACTTTTGTTTGTTTTGATCTTTTGATCAAACTTTTGATCTGCTGCTTGATCCCAGGCTAAGATAAGATGCTGTGGTAAGGCCACTTGTAATAACAACTAATAAAAGAAAAAAATCTGTTCAATATATAAAAGGCAGCAAGTGGAAGATAACAATGGCACAGAACACTTGAACAAAGTTCTACTGAAGTGGAAAAAAACAAACTTTTAAACCTCCCTCAAGTGGGGCCATTTTAAATCTTCTTAAAACTGTTACTAACTCCCCATGAATAGCCTTCCAGTTGTACATTTCTACTTTACAGCTTAGAGTTTGTAGGAACTTACATATTTGTTACTTCACTTCATCCTCACAACAACCCTGTGAGGTAGGACTTATTCTCATTTGAATTGCAAAAACCAAAATAAAGCAACACAACCAACACTAAGGCTAAGATGAAGTGAAAAAAATCTCAAACTGAGCCATTCTGACCACAGATCCAAGTCTCAAGTCCCTATAAAATATGACAAGAAGGTCCTGGCCACCATAAGCAAGCAAGAGCCAGGAATTCTCTAATCCATCAAGAAAAGTTCATCAACCGAAATTTGGGCTAAGTGAGTAACAAATGGAAGCCAACATAGTCATGAAGGGCTCAAGGAATCCAACTCTCAGAGTAAGGCATTGCTTTAAAGGTCAACCCTACAATTAGCAAGTCACATGTACCACTTCTAAGAACAGGAGGGAGAAAAAGATATAAGGAGAGAAGACTGGAATCGTTCATCAGTTATACGTCTCCACATTCCATTTCCTAAAGGATCTTCATACACACTTTCTCCCAAGATAAATGTTCTGTGGCCACATAGTTCAAAAAGTAAAGAATTCAGTTGTACCAGATGAGAGTTATAAGAAAGGGGGGAAGAAGGGGGGAAGCAAAGAGCTTGTGGTTTTTAATTATATTTCCCTTTTATCAGTCATTAGGCTCCAGCGTTAAGTTTCCTGCAAACTTAAGGAAGAGCTGACAGAAGTAAAAGACTCCTTGAACTACCTCTGCTGGCCCATCCTAAGAGAAATGAGCCTTTTAGAGCACTGATGCTCTTAAACACAGCTATTAGTGCTTTCCGCACTTTTCAGGAAAAAAAAACAAAAACAAAAACTCTTTAACTGACACAAGTGAACGTTTAAATCAAATGTAATGTACTTACATCACTATGAGAGGTACTAGGCTCTTCATCATCACTGCTGACCAGATCAATATATTCAAGAACAGGTCTTAATGGTCCTTCCTATAAAAGGAATTGAGAAAATTCATATCATGAACATCATTTAAACCAAACCAGCATTTTAAACAATGTTCTTTGTTGGGACTGGATCTAAGAAGGAAAACATATGAGGAGCAGGAAAAAAACAATGAACAAAAGTAAACTATTCAGAGTCCTTTTTTTTTTTTTTTTTTTAAGTTGACTGAGCTAGGCATGATGGTACATGCCTATAGTGCTAGGCAGTTTAAAACCTGGGCAAGAGAACTACAAGTTTTAGACCAGCTGGGCTACTGCACAGCAAGTTCCAGACCACCTTTTTTTTTTTTTTTTTTCGAGACAGGGTTTCTCTGTGTAGCTTTGTGCCTTTCCTGGAACTCACTTGGTAGCCCAGGCTGGCCTCGAACTCACAGAGATCCGCCTGCCTCTGCCTCCTGAGTGCTGGGATTAAAGGCGTGTGCCACCAACCGCCCGGTTCCAGACCACCTTTTAAAAATAAAAAAAGGTCCCTAAAAGTTAGAGCCTAAATCCCCAGGGACACAGATACTACAACCCAGGGCATTTCATCTTGGATGAGTATCAACAGTTTATTAAGATATCCAAGTTTGTCAACCCCAGAGTATACAGCACAAACATGGAGCTCTGTGACCAATAACTTAGCTTCATTTCCCTAAACTTAAGAGACTAAAACAGCAAACCTAGATTCTTCTCCAATCTTCTTCCTATTTTTATGTCAGGTTTAAAAACTCAGATCTCAATTCTATAGGCAAAAAGGAATTAATAAATAACATTATAATAGAAATAACATATTAATATAGGAATACCACAGACGAATATGAAAACCAGGAAAGCAAGATAATGAGTACAGACACATAATAATGTATAACTAATACTGGTGATGGTAAAAAGAGTGAAGTATACCTACCTAAGAGAATCGGGATACAATGGACAAAAAATAGATGAGAAAACTCAGATCTTATCCCAAAGAGCCAAAACCAAACAAACAAAAAAGAAAATCAAGAACTCAAATAAGCTCAAGCGGCCAGAAAATCACTAATATACTAATGCCAGCATTGCAGATGTGCACAAAGGTGCCTGGCCAACAACTGGACATGCAGACCTGTAATATCAGCTATGAACACTTGGGAGTGAGATCTGGGAGTTGCCCCCACCCCTAGAAGACTACTAAACTCTTAACTAAACAGAAATGATTGCAGACCAATGAAAAGTCATCAGTGCTGCATGTGGGCAAACACACCGAGCACCAAGACTACATAGTATACTAACTATGTCGTCTTACTTACTGCAGTCTTCCAAACACAGTCAAGAAAGACTTTTGAAAGAGAAATGCTAAATAAAGCAGCAGGCACATAAACAATACAGTAAAAGGCAAAGAAAGCAACGTAAATACAAACAACAAAAAATGTCTAAAATCTTAGGTATGACTGGTATATGCCTATTTTGTCAACCCTAGGGGTTAGCGCAGAAGTTCAGGGCCAGACTGGGCTAGGAAGTGAGAACTTGTCTCAAAACTTTAAAATCTAATACATTGTGTAATGGGGGGAGGGGGGGTGTTATAGGAGAAAAGCACAACCTATGTTAAGAGTTCGTAGACTGAAGAAAACAGATTGTTGTAGACAGAAGGTAAGACCATCAAGTTCAAGATTCTCTTCTTCCATTGTTTGCTTTTTTCTTAGGTTTTAATACACCATAAATTACCATCCTTCTGGAGAGTGATCCAGACATCAAGATAAAACCAGTGAGCAAAACTGTAAAACCATGAAATGTAATAAAGGAACTGGAATTTTTACTCAAGCTGTTAAGATGAACATTTGTTCAAGAGGGAAAAAGAAAAGAAAAAAAACAGCACAAATCACATGGTCAACAGAGCTGTATCATCTACATTAAGACTACAGGCTACCCTTGATACTGATATTGTTCAATCATTTGGTCATATGTTCTACTCAAGAAGAAAGTAGGAAGATGAAAATATATATGCTTTTACCATTCATATTATAGTTTGGATTCTTTAAGCAATATTATTAAACTGTATTATTATATTCTACTTTCTGGCTTATTTGTTTCTGACACAAGGTCTATGTAGTCTGGGCTGGCCTGGAACTTTTTTATGCAGTCCATTCCGGCCTCAAATTCAGTCCCCATCAGCCTCCCAAGGGAAATTGGTCCTGGCACACACCTATAATCACAGCATAGAGAGGCAGAATAATTAGTTCTAGACTAGCCAGGCAACTGCAGCCCAGCTGGACACAACAAAATCATCTCAAGAAAACAAAAATGAGCTGGGCATGTGCAGCACAGGCCTGTAATACAGGACAACTGCTACAAGTTCAAGGCCAGGATTAAAATGTAGTTTGAAAGCAACTGGTAGTGGAGAGTTTTAACATACACAAGGCCTTGAGGTTCAACCCCCAGCGCTAGAGGAAATAAAAAGACTTAAGTCAGGTGTGGTAGTATACATCAAAAATCCCAGCACTCAGGAGGCAAGAGGGTTATTAAGTTCCCAAGACCAACCCAGGCAAAATGTTGGCTCAAATACAAAAAATTTAACAATTCTTAAAACATAGCTAAAGATACACAGGACGGCCAAAAACAAGAGCAGATAGATAAAGCAAGAGACTATCAGAACTTTACTACTAAATCCATGATATGCAACTGTTGTTAAACTAGAAAAAAATAATTTCATATGATTTACAGTAATTAAGACAAAATAATGAAAAATAACCAGGACAAAACAAAACAAAACAGGGGAAAAGTTTACTCATGCAACAACTAATCAGTGATGTACAAGGGACAGAATGAGACAAGAATGTGATGGTTAGTTTTGGCTTTTACTTGACAGGACTGTGAAGACCCACCCCTACTCTGAGCAGACCACCCACGGCTGGTAAAAGAGAGGAGAATTTCTGCTTCCTGCCTGTAAACACATGACCAGCTGCGTCCATATTCCCGTCACCATGTGTTCCTCTCTACTGTGGACTGTGGGCCAAAATAAACCCTTCGCTGCCTAAGTTGTGTGTCAAGTATTTGATCACAGCAATGAGAAAAGTAATTAATACAGAAGATATTAGAGACTGAAAGGAAAATTATAAGCATGCCAAAGAAAAATACTTACATATAAAGTAGAGTACACTTTTAACTAATTTTCACCGCAGAACCAGAATAACTAGCAGTAACTGCCTCAGCCTCCTGAGTGCTGTGATTACAGGTGTGTACCACAACACTCTGGTTTGTTTTTGTCTTGAGATAGGATCTCACTCCCTACAGTGCCCAGGCTGACCAGGAATTACTTGTGTGTTGTTTATATCAATAGCTACCCTCAATCTCCTCAATGCTTGGATTTCAGGCACTCACCAAGACCAACTTCCCATATTTTATCTTTACTTAAAACTGTTCGCCATACTGAATTTGAGGAATCAAAGCATTTAGTACTCCACTTATTCTTACACCTAAGTCAATAAAATTTATTGAGCCTTTTCCTAGGCTTGTGCTAAGCTTTCTAAATTATACCATCCAATTTCCACAACTGCTTTACAGAGATTCTAATTATTGAAATTACCCTATTATACAGATAATAAAACTGAGTGACATACACACAATTGGTTGTATGGTCACTATTCAGAGGTGCTTTAAAGTATAAATCAAATTTAAAAAAATTACTGCTTATTACCTAAGTTTCCAAGTTAACATGTCCTTTCATTCAGTAAAAAACAAAACATAAAACACTATTGCCTGTATTATATTTATAATGTTGCCCAAATCAAATAAACTACTAATTCCCCAAGAAGTAATGTTCATAATACAAATATGAAGAAAAAGATTATCTCCTACAATATTTATGACTACCTGTGCCTGTATTAAGTACAAATGCAGGTGGTCCTTCAATTATAAGGTATTTTTTTCTGAACTTATACCACCAATTAATAAATCAGTCTCATCTCCTCTTGTACCAATAACAAAATAAAGGATTCAACTCAAAAATGCCACTATACTTTGGCAGCAGAGGTTCATGCAGAATATATTAGAAACACAGAAGAATATTCTAAGTTTTAAAATATACTGCAGTAAACTATTTGCATTCCTGTAATACTAATTCTCAAAATGAAAACCACCAATTTTTCTATTTAGAAAGAGATGTTAATACATTAAAATATCATCCACAGCCGTTTTACTTCAAAGAAAGAAAAGTTAGGGTTGTACCTTACTTCTGCAGTCCTGCCTAGTCAAAACTTTCAAATGGTTTCCAACTGCCTACTTTTTGGTTCAAATATAGTCCCTCATTCAAGATCTGTGTCATATGGCCCTTCTTTCTCTCTCCCACCTTAAAACTAAATAAAATAAAAAAAAAAATCTTCAAAATTACACATAATGCTGTTCTTTGATTTTCATGCCTTTTCTTTTTCTATTCAAAAATGCCATTTTAAATATTCAAATATCTGGGACATAGCACTCAACTATCAAATAGGAGGTCCTAAAGTCAATCTCTGCAAACACACACACAGACACACACACACACACACACACACACACACACACACACACACACACACACAAATCAGTATGAATAACCAACCACTATTTATAGCAAACTAATGAACTATACAGTCTTATGCCTTTCCTGTATGTGTACGTTGTCTGTGTATGTGTATGGTATGCGTGTGCATGTGTGAATACAGACACATGTGCCACTACAAGCATGCACATGTCAGAGGACACCTTCCAGGAGTTCTCATCTTCTACTTTACTGAGGCGGGTCCCTCTGTTTTCTGCAGCTGTACAGGTTCTTCCACTCTTGTTGGCTGTGAACTTGGGATTACAGATGTTCGCTTGCCATTACATAGATACATACATTTACTTATTTATTATTTTTTAATGGGAGTTTCAAGGATAGAATTCAGTCCAAGTGCTTTTACTCACTAAGCCATTTCCCTGGACTCCTTGTGTCTTTTTTTTTTTTTTTTTTTTTAATATTCTGTGATTTTTATAGAAGAATTTTTATTGGGACCATTTTTTTTCTTTCTCATTGCTGCACTAAAATACTGACATTCAAGGATAGGATTTATTTCAATCAAATATATAGGTCTAACATCCAGAATGCACAACTTTGCACATTCTAAGCTTCAATATTATTTTGCTTAATGAATAATTTATAGATAATCACTCATTAAGAAACCTAGTCAAAAGATGCTTTTGGCCAACTGGAAAGATGGCTCAGTGGTTACATTCTCACTGCTCTTCCAGGGGACTCAAGTTCAGTTCCCAAGAACCATGTTGGTGACACACTACCACCTGTAACTCCAGTTCCAGGAGCACTTACACACTTTTTCTGGTCTCTGCACCTACACACATGGCAAACAGCTACTTACACACACACACACACACACACACACACACACACACACACACACACGAGTTAAATATATTATTTTTTAATGATGCTTTCTGTATGCATTCTTTCTACCTCAACAAGAAATATTAATATTAAATCTGGGTGCTCAGGTTCTTTATGAAATTATGTCTTCAAGTTCTGAATCTCGGACTGGAGAGATGGCTCAGAGGTTAAGAGCACTTAGCTGCTCTTCCAGAGGTCCTGAGTTCAATTCCCAGCAACCACATGGTGGCGCACAACCACCTATAATGAGATCTGGTGCCCTCCTCTGGCCTAGAAGGACACATTCAGGCAGGACCTGTGTACATAATAAATAAATCTTAAAACAAAAAATTCTGAATCTCTTGTCTTGTTATGAAGATTAAGATAGGTTCCCAGCAGTTTGTATGCCTTTATATCTAAAGTGGTACTGTAAACAATCCTGTTAGCAGTTACTTAGCTCAAATTTTTTTGGAAGGAAATAATTACAATAAAAGATGTTCTATTTCAAAAGAAAACATCAAGATAAAGATTGAATAAAGGGCCATATTGCTAAACAGAAAATGTACTTAATTAACAGGCAGAAACAAAAAGTTCTTATCAGTGTTATTCTGTTTTCGGACTTAGGCACTGTCCTAATTTGCATTCCTGTTGCTGTGATAAACACATAAACCAAAAGGGTTTGGTTCACCTTATACTTCCAGGTCACAGCCCAGCTTTAAGGGAAGTCAGGCAGGAACCTCAAAGCAGGAATTGAGAAGGAATGCTCTTACTGACCCTTGCTCAAGAGCGCTCTCTCTCTCTCTCTCTCTCTCTCTCTCTCTCTCTCTCTCTCTCTCTCTCTCTCTCTCTGGTTTATGTACAGTTAGCTTTTTTATCCTGCAAATAACCACCTGCCTAGAGACATAATACTCAGAGTAGGCTGGGCCTTCCTACATCAATCCACCATCAAGAGAATACCCCCACAGACATGCCCACAGGCCAGTCCAATCTAGGCAAATCCCTAATTGAGGCTCCTCCTTCCTACATGACTAATTTAGGTCAAGTAGACAATAAAAACTTACCGGTACAAGCACCACTTACAAAAATATACTGCGCTGAGAGAACTGGAGAGCTGGCTCAGCATGTAAGAGCGTGTGTTGCTCTTGCAGAGGACCCAGACTGCATTCCTAGCAACCACGTGGTGGTTCACATCTGGGTCCCAGCGACCACAGTGTGATTCACAACCATCCATAACTCTAGTTCTTGGGATCAGAGGCCCTCTTCTGATCTCTGTGAGCACCAGACATACAAATGGTGCTACACATATATACAGGCAAAACAGTCACACACATAAACACAACTTTTTAAAATTTGCTAAATTTATTGCCTTTGCAAATATCAAACAAGGGCACCAATGAACTATGTACTTCCCTGAATATTTCAACCAAAGTTAAACAAGTGGATTCCTTTTTGCATCTCCATATCTGTATTACTCCTCTCAGCATGCTGTGTGTGGCTCGTCTACATCCACGAGACACAGAAAGGTCCCCTGTCCGATGGTGGTGTGCAACTCCTGTGCAACTGTGTCACACATAAAACCAAGTCAATCAAGACGTTACATTATAATGTAGTTTGTAATGAGAAACTCAGACAGAAACCTGGTTTCCATCTTTACTAGATAAGAACTACCAGAGAAATAGAATTATGTTACAAAGAACACAAGATTCTGTTTCTGGACACTTCTGTCCTGTTTGAAGCAGTGTTGTTTTTTGCACACAGCAGGTCTCAAACCTCCTAAGCAAGCAGCTCAGATCGCCTTCCAATCCAGGATCCTTTCACTATGACCTCCCTAGTGGAGGTATCTTAGAGATACCTTTTAAGGTATCTTAGAGATATCTTTTAAGATACCTAGAGGAAGTATCTTAAAATAACATGAAGCTATCACTCATCATCATTTAAGCGGTAGCGCTTACAGGCATAGGCAAAGGTTTATACATTATACATTCTTTATTCCTAATGCAAAGATAGAAATACCTTTGTACATTTAAAATAAAATTTAAATATTACTTTAAAATTCAATCAACAAACACCTGAATTAGCTAGTTACAAGTTATAATGGTATAGCATTTCACAAGATATAAGACAAAAACAATTTACTTTTTTTTGGGGGGTGGGGGAGTTCAAGACAGGGTTTCTCGGTGTAACAGATCTGGCTGTCCTGGAACTGACTTTGTAGACCAGGTTGGCCTTGAATTCATGAGATCCATCTGCTCCTGCCTCCGAGGAGGGGGCATGTTAAAGCGTGGGCCACCATGCCCGACTTTTGAACTTTACTCTTTACATAGTCTATCAATTTCTCAGAAGCCCATATTTTATAATGAAGAGTTACTCCTTTTACTCTTGCATGAAACATCATGGTAAATATTCCATTCACAAATACATCGGGATTCAGGAAGAATCTGAAATACTTGTCCTAAGGAGTCATAAAAACCTTTATCAAACACATGCATGTTGGAGGGGTAGTATTAATTACCCTTTCTTTATTAATTACTTAATTCTGCTTTCTCCAAAACACTTCAGTCTGCTAGAAGAAAGGAACAAGACACTAAGTATCCCCAAGACCTCTCTCCAGATCCTCAAAGTTCAAAATGAAAAGGACGGAGAGCCAAGTGCAATGCAAAAACTAAGAAAACAGTTTTATGAGGACTCCCCTCACAAGACCCCATTAAAACACCATACACAATGGAATGCCACATTGTCTCAATGCTGGGTAGGATAAACTTTAATAATCACTATTTTATAGTTAGCCAAAGCTTCCATATACGTATCGGACGAACAATAAAGAACTATACAGCTTTTATAACAAACTGTAGCCAACTACAGCATTTCAGGAGAGCTGTAAGGAGCAGAGATGTCCTCTGGCTGGCTAATACTTGAAGAAGAGCCAACATACAAACTTAACCACTATAGGTGACCATCACCCACAGCGTTTGTCTCCCCTTAGTCATCACTTTATGAAGTGTTGAGAGATCCAAACGTCCCCAGTTGTATTCCAAAATAACAATACCTAGGCTCCACCCTGAATTCCTGATTCAACAGATCTGGAGTGGGCCCAAGAATCTGCCTGCTCACACTTAATGCTGGAAAACTAACTGTCCCCAGAGGAGTAAACCTAAAAACACACAGCAATGTTCCAGGTGATGCAGGACTCCTCATTGTGACCAACAATTATATGTAACAAGATGACCTCAGAAGTTAGGGATGTCCTCAGGCTATCTTAGAAGCTACACACACTAAAATGCTGTGCTCTTTACAGCCCTTTCCTACCTCCTCGAAAATTAACTAGTCCTGTGTGGCTACATTTGGAAGGCATTCTTGCCTCATTTCAAAACAAAACGACAAAAAAAGAAGTCTTAAGAGACCAGAATGTAGCTGGGCGGTGGTGGCGCACGCCTTTAATCCCAAGCACTGGGGAAGCAGAGTCAGGCGGATCTCTGTGAGTTCGAGGCCAGCCTGGTCTACAGAGTGAGATCCAGGA